TTTAAAAATGCGACGCACAAGTTAAATTGCCAAAAAAAAAAAAAAAATGAAAAAATTTAATAAAATTTTTGATGGCGATGCAAATATAGTATACACATACCCACGTAGATGTGTGTGATTGCTTGCACTCAAAGTCACACTAATCAAGAAATTTTGCATATTGATAAGACAGGCCCACTTTTGCTGCCAGCCCGTATGTACATGTATGTGTGTGTGTGTGCGTTGTGAGCAATGATTTCTTTTTGTATGGACATATGGACATGTTTGTATTGAGGCATATAAATTAATTTTAATTTTAATAAATTTATTTATGAAACCATATTACTGGGGGTATATTAGAATACATCTGCGGTAAAAAAAGCGAAATCGTACATCTATAAACACATACACGCATCCATACATACATATACAATACCTGCGAGTATATCAATTCATTTATTGCCATTTAATTGACCATAGGGGCGCGTCAGTCGCCAGTGCTCGTTCGTTATTCTACATAATTATGTATATAAGTACATACTTACATATAACGGCATAATAAGTGATGACAGGCAAAAAATGTATGAATATACTAGATACTTTATAATAAAACACTTGTTGCGTGCATAAATTAAAATATAAATGCAAAATATTTTTAATATTTTTATTGGCGTCGACATTTCAATGGAATCTTAATGTCACATTCTCACATGATGCAAATAAATAATTTATTACTTTCACTGTTTTTTTACTTTAAAAATAATAATAATTAAGTACAGAAGGTCGAAAGCCTGCGAACATATTTTGAAGCAATTTTATATATGTATAAATAATACTCACTGACCGACATATTTGGCACAAAACTTGTTAGAATAACGAAAATCATTATAAGAAGTATAGCAGAGTTGGAGGTAGTATATTTTTGCCAATATCACATACCAATAACATGCCACAGACTAATAAAATACTCTTAGGGTTTCATTAAGGTACCTCACATACCATCAACAATCATATGGAGTAAAGTCAGCCGAAACTTGCATGACAGAAAAACGAAAGCAAAAAAAAAAAAAATTTTTAACAAGTGGATATACCTTCAATCTATCAGGTAGGTCATAGGTTGATTAGTCATTGTAATTGTCATAAAAGGTAGTAAACGGGTAAATAACCCTGATTCACGGAGACTAAAGATCCAATGGTCACACTCATTGCTCATCAATTAAAAAGTCCTACAAGTTTTAAATCTGCTTTGAACAACTGTTAGATAAGGTAAGCTGCTCCAAGAACTTGTTTTTTTATAATCAACGCGGTTTTGTTTTTTTTTTTTTAATTTGACAAAAACTTCTGATAAAGCACTGCTTGAAATATTCAAAATTTCAATTAGTAAACTATAATGCTTAGTGTGTATAAAAATTTGAAACTATTCACTCTCTCACAGCATCTTCTTTTGAATCATTTTCGTTTCGTTTCTTGGGAATTTTTTAATTCCAATGGTTTGCGTAAATTTCCTGCCATTAATTATGATTTCATAGAATTTCCGTAATTAATAATGAATAATTATTCATAAAGTGATAAGCGTAGACGGGGCTTACTTTATGAATGTCTTGTACATTTATTCTCTTGAATACATTTATATTAATTATCATTTTAGAGTATAAATTGTGAATTTTCCGATAGATTACTCATTTTTAATACGATCACTTAAATTTAATCTCAAAAATGTTTAGTCATCGTTACAAGAAAGGATGTTCTTGCATAGTTTTATTGACACAATTTACTGTCATTTATGTACATATATACCATTTTGCAGCACAGCCTAAATAAGTAAAATGTTACGTGTTGTGTTTGCAGAGGGCACAGGGATGAGCATGCGTATACGTAACATTAAATTTCTTGGAAATAAGTATATATATATGTACATTAGGGTGTCCGTTTTTAACAGGTTGATTTTGTTTTACGAACGCCCCCTGAAGATTCGCTTTCTACAAGAAGATTTTTCAAATGTTCAATTATTTTCGGAGATATAGGTATTATAAGAATACAGAGATATAGGAACATGCGAGACTTTACACGCGTTTTTCTCGAAACAGTCGTTTTGTAACGATAACCACGATTTCGCAGCTTCTACTGGTCCGATACACTTGAAATTTTTAGAAGGTCTTTTTTATGTATTTATGTTTTTCCTGTATTTTTGTAACGTTAATAAATAACTAATAAAAACAAATGGATACTAAATATATGAATTGAATGTTTTACAACACTTCGAAAATTACCTGAGATGCATGTCTCTAAATTAGAATACCCCTTAAACAAGTAACCCTACAACCTTGAAGAAATGATATTCTAGTATAATTATGCATATTCCTTTTGTAATATATAATTTCATCGAACTTTAAAAATAATAAACTAAAGAAACTTTTAACATTTCAAAATGCCATCATAATGTACGAGTAGCTTCTAAAATATTACTGTCAGTGAGTGGCAGAGATGTTGCTGAAAAAAATGCTTAGTCATAGTTGAAGTCTCAAAAAAAAAAAAACAACAAAAAAAGTTAACTTCGGTGGCACCGAAGCTATAATACCCTTCACAAATACAAAGGCCCCTTACAAGAACTTGATTCCGAACGTTCAATTTGTATGGTAGCTATATGATATAGTTATCTGATCTGACCAATTTCTGCGGAGAAGAATTTGTTGCCTTAAGCGATAACTTGTGCCTAATTTCGTGAAGATACCTCGTCAAATAAACAAATCTTCCATGCAAGCACTTTACTCCGATCGTTCAGTTAATATGGCAGCTATATGTTATAGTCATCCGATCTATACAATTTCTTTGGCGATTAGATTATTGCCTTAAATAATAATCCATGCCAAGTTTCGTGAAGATAGCTCGTCAAATGAAAGAGTTTTCCATACAAGCACTTCATTGCGATTGTTCAGTTTGTATGGCAGCTATATGTTATAGTGATCCGATATCGGCCGTTCCGACAAATGAGCAGCTTCTTTGTGAGAAAAGGACAGGTGCAAAATTTGAGATCCATAGCTTAAAAACTGAGGAACTAGTTTGTATATATACAGACAGACGGAGATGGCTAAATCAACTCAGCTCATCATGCTGTTCATTTATGTATATATTTTATAGGAGTGGCAAACTTAATATACCCTGTTCAGGGTATAATAATTATCAAAATGTGTGACATTTCTTCGAAGACAAATGATTAATGGGCCACTTTCTTATGTAAATATTTGGGCTGATATCAGTGCTACATATTCATTTACCTAAAAATGTGTGCTTAATACATTGCTTTGCACATATTTACAATGGACATAAATGTGGTAGGTATGTGTTGGGGTTTACTAATCCAATTTTCTTGCTGATAACACCGTTCAAAGTAAACACATGCATAAACGTGTAGAAGCAACCAAATGTAAGTACATACGCATGTATGTATTATGGTTCTCATTACGTGTATACTTATGGGCACTAGACACGAGATAACACCATCACGTGATATACTTGTACTATGTTCACGATTTGTATAACGCCTTTTTGGTCACAGAACCGTTCATACATATGTGCACAATGCATACATTTGTATGTATGTATACTTGTATATATGTGAGTATGCGGGTATGTATGCACCTATGTACATCGGTAAGACTAGACAATTTCGTATCATAAACGAGCAGTAGTTGTTAGCTTAGCATGATAAGAGCGTATGCAATTACTTATTTCGAATACTCTGCACCGTTTTCCTTTAATGTCTGTCTGCCTATATGTGTGCATGTATGTATGAATGTATGCATGTTGGCAGCCAATGGAAATTGAGGCAAACTATAAAAATGTTGTCGTAGGTCATTGACTAAATACTAGTAGAGATATGTTAGCTGCAGCCGTTCATGGACTTTAGAGCATATGCGCATATGTTCTTGACTAAATTAAATGCTGATAGAGCAAAAAATGTATAAGAAGAGTGTGTAAATGTTGCATACATCTAGTGATAATTATTGCGTTAATGTATGTTAACGGCAATTTGCGTGTTACAAATTTAATCTCATTTAAAATAAAATAATTTAATCGCTTTAAGCAAAGCAATGGAATATGAAACTGATTATTGTAGTTGTTTGAGTTTAGATAATTCGAGATGAAATGTTGGCTTTTGATAAGAATTTTAGCATTTTTTCGTAACATTATACTAAATGTATTAAAATTGACAAAAAAAATAAATTAAATGTCTCTACTGCCTCTTAGAATACACACGATGTACGAGGGGAAGTAGGCTACAGTTCTTTTAGATCGATTTGAAAAGCGGTTCCGACAATAATTAAGAAATAACGTTGACTCCGGCTGTACCGAAGCTCTAATACCCTTCACAGGTATAACATAAAAGGGTATACAAATAACTTTATATTGGTTTTGATAGGCCAGTTTTATGGCAGCTATATGCTATAGTAGTCCGAGGGACAAATGTGTAACTTTTTGAGGAGAAAAAAAAGTATGCGAATTTCAGGTCAATATCTCAAAAATTGAGGGATAAGTTCGCGTATGCCCTTTATAAATGTATGTATATGCTAATAATCAGTAAAAAATTTTGAATTTTTAATATTAAATATTACTATAATATAAACCGATTTAATTAAACACGAAACATGAACATTTTAAAAATAGCTTGCTTATATAATTTTTTCGCACAATTTTCTATGGGGGAAATAAATATAAAATATCCAAAAAAAAAATCGTTAACATTCTTTGTTGATAGAGTTAACATTTCAATGTAATCCAAATAGGAAATTTTAATATTATATTTGAATAACTCTGTTAATGTGTTAATGTGGAATGCATTATTGTAGCCTACTTTCAGGCTGCAGTTGCGAAGCATACAATCGCCACGTGGAAAAAATTACCATATTAATTTGGGATTTAAGATATAAATATAGTACATATGTATATGCAAATAAAAAAAAACATGCCTAAAACTCAATTTAGTATCTTCTCTAAATTAATATAATTTATGCATCACTTACCATGATATGAAACAGTAACGAATGAAATTTGTACGCAGGTCTCAGTACATCCATTTGGTTTCAGTGTGCGCACAAATTGGCCATCCTGTATGGTGTACACGTTCACAGTACCGTCCTAAGTCATTAAATACATACAAACAAAATTAGAACTGAGTAAAATCGACCTTTTGCTTAATTAAGTGAATTATTACCAGTGATCCCGAAACGACCATATCCAATTCAGTGTAAATGGCGACACTCGAAATGGCGTCGTCGTGACCGTAGAGTGTGGTCAATGGTTTGGGCGAGAATGCATTCTGTGTATTCAGCTGTGTAATCGCCTGCAGATGCGCCTGCCCAGTAAGCGCGTGCATTGGAATGTTTGTGCTGGCCGTTACATTGCCGTACTGTTGTGTCTGTATACTCCAAACGATGCAGGTACAGTCGCGCGAACCGGTCACTAAGTAAGAGCCGCAGTTGTCCAACGCCAGACAGGTGATGATGTCTAGTAATAGGAAAAAACAAAGAGATTTTAAATATTTAAGAAGACACAGTTTTGGAGAGTATAGAAACTTCAATACAAACCTAAGTGCCGCGTCACAGAGGCCACTGCTTTCCCCTTATGTAAATTATAGACACGCAGTGAGTTGTCCCAAATGCCACCCGCATACAGCAGTTTGCCATCTGTGCTCACTGCGAACAGTTGTGAATGTGGATTTTGCGAGGGATGGAAGGGGCCAAAAATGCGTTTGCGGTTTCTAAAACAGTAAAAAAATCGTATTAAAAGAGAGTTAGAGTTAGAGCTACCTGTAAAGCTTTTTATAGATCTATGCAGACAGTTTTTATGTTATCGCAACTACGGTCATATTATTCTTCACCTCTACTTACTTCAAATTGGTAGTTGTTGCATCGATTTCCAGCAGAAATCCCCGATCCTTATCATAGGACATCCATGAATTAGCACCAAGTATACAGGATTTCGATATGCTGACAAGTACATCTGGACTGAGTTGTAGAAATGAGCGCGGTGGACTGCGAGGTGCGCTCAGGAAGACAATTGGATCTTTTGGCGTTGATAGCTCACAATAATATTGCACAACCTTATCGAGAAATTGCGTAAGATCCGGTCGTTTCAATTCGGCGCGCACCAGTTTGAGTGCGGTCTCCTCTTGTGTCAAACGGCGCGGATGTGGCTCACGCAATAATTGTGATGGCACTTGACCGAAGTTGTTGATCATACCTTCAACAGCTTCACGTTCAACGGGATTGGTAATTTTATCCAAATCGACGGCACCTTCATATGAACAATAGTAAAAAACGTTCAGCGCTTCGACAGCTTTGGGGCCTTTTTGTTTGTAGCTGTGGTAAAATAAGGTTTAGAACTTAGTTGGCTGAAAGCAAACTTGTTTCTCATGAAAAGGCTCACCCAAAAATCAAATCGATCCAATGGTGTAGATTTTGACTCACATATTCCGATTCTAAAGCACGTCGGTGTATAGCTATAAACTCCTCCGGTGTGTTAGCCCATGTTGGCAGTATGACGTCATCCACCTTTTCTTTTGTTATTTGCAAGTGACCCAAATCAAATCTAAAAGTGGTAAATTATTGGATACAGTTCGATTAAAAATTATAAAAGATACATACTTGTTCATATTTTTCAGAAACTCAGGAAAATAAAAGAATTCCGGTATCAGCTCCTTCACATCGTTCGGATTGTCCATTAACAATTTCCACGTTTGTGGTATCGAATGGAATTGCCGATCGGCCACATCGAAGCGTCCACTTTGCAACTCAATGTGTAGCGAAGTAAATGGTTCCACGCGCAGCAAATAATGCAGAACACCACCAGAATTAGAGTAATGTGTGCCGTAATGAAATTTCGGTATCGCACCCGAGGGGTCTTCGAATGACTCGTATTTGATGCGTACACCAGCCTCATTTTTAGGATTGATCTAAGTTGGCATGTTATTAGAGTATAAAATATTTGAAATAGTGTAGGATATTAGAGTAGCTTACCACACCAACAGGCTTGGAAAGATCGCGAAAAGATTTTGGATCGGTTAAGTCTAAAACATCACTGGTATAGTCGGACAATATCCAAGGAAATACTGGGTACTGACTGAGGTCATTGTAAGAGCGACCTAAAAAGCCATGCAAACAAAGTATAACATTGTACATAGAAGTAGACTTATTATTACTAAAAAGCAATAACTATTTCAAAAATTTATTAACAATAAGTAATCAAGGTTTAGAAATTTTAACCGCAAGATCTTGATCTTTTAAATCTTACATTTTTTAATTTAAAATTTTTGACAATTTTTTGAGGTTAGAAAATAAAATATATACCTTCTTGCAAACGAAATAAATTTCAAAACTTCCAAGCAGTGACTTACCAGCAATTGTATTCAAGTACATAAGATATTCGAAATTGGAAATCTCACGATTTACCCACTTCTGCGTAAGTCCCGAAGCGCGCAATAATTCTCCTGGAGAGCGACCGGAGCCATATAAAATGTTTGGTGGTTGTAAGCTCAAAATTTTCGTAAAAACTTTGTTGCGTGTCTACAAATAAATTAGATAAATATATTACAGAAATGTTCAATGCTACCGCTTGAGGCCTGTTCTGTATTTAGATTCGGAGTCGAAATTTATTAATTTCGATTTTGACAAATTTTAGCGAAACACGAGCAGTCGAACTCACCTTTGTAGTAAAATTGAGAAAATAACTAGTTTGATCGATTAAAAATATTTCCAAAGCGCTGCGCCTCAAATTGAATTTACGCAAATGCACCTCACGTATTTTGCTGATTGGAAAGCTTTATCGAAGAAAATTTAAGGCATTTTAAATTATTTTTTTAATGAAAATTGATTTTTTTTGCATTACTTACCGAAAATCGTGCTTGGAGCCATCTTCCGTAGGCGGACTCAGATCGATGAAGCTGAAGAGCGTTTGATTCACCTCGATTTTACCTTTCACCTTCGTCATCAAAGTAATCAGTTCACAGTCTTGTGAAATTACCGATTTTTCTAGTGGCACATCTTGTTGAGATTGTGCTTCAATCGATTGGCGCAGTTCCTCTTCGAGCTGTAAATTCTCATCGTCTGCTAAGAAGTCGCGTACTACGGCACTCTTAATTGTCGAATCGAATTCCGAGATTTCTCTAAATTTTCAATATTTATTTTTAATAATTTATGTAATATTTTTTAAATTTCCTTTGTCTTCCTACCTTGGATCATAGGCATTTGTGGCATTATCACGTAAATTCGCCGCATTTTCGTGCTTATTCGGATACAATTGCGGCTCGAGCTTGAGACGCATGCGCGCGACATTCTCATGATTGGAGAGCATCCAAAATTCTTCCGGAGAATTACTGAAAGTAAAAAATATATTTTTGTTACACTTGTTTAGAGGTTAGTTCATATATATTTGGAATTATAATATATGGATAAAATCGATTTGAACTTTTTGATTACTCCCACGAAAAAAATTGGAAATGCAGCATAAGTGGCATATCTATTTTTTAAACCGTCTGAAGATTATAATATTATAATTTTCAATAAAGTTTGGAAAAAAGTTTGGTCTGATTTTGGATTCAAGGAATTCTTTTTAAAAATCTATTTTAAAAGGGTGCTAAACTTTCAGTCCAATTGTAGAAATTTCAGGTAAGGAAAAAACGAAGAAGACCGATATTTTAGAAACACCAATTTCTAATATATTTTCATGGATTATAAGACTAAAACTTATACTAAAATGATGCAAATTTCTAACAGTTATTTGAAAATAGTCTTTAGATAAAATTCTATTTTTTGGAAGACAATTGAAAGACAGATAAAGTCGGGTTGTACGACCCCTAAGATTTGAGAACGAATGTTTCGAAAATCGTGAGAGCTCTCTATGAATGAGAGATAAACCTCTGTTAAAGAACTTACATAGCAAAGTATTCGAGGATGGAAAGGAGGCAAAGCTTGATTTAAATCAGAAAATTATGGATTTTTTTTTAATTTTCATTACTTTTTCAAAATCTTCATATATCAAATGAAAGATAAAGCGATTTTTTGTTTTAACAGTTTTTTTTATTAACGATGAAAGTTTTCAACAAAGACAATGAGTTTTTTTCTAGTTTATTTACAAATGGATGTCCCTCGTTGAATTGCATTGTTCTACCTAATAGTTGGCGCGCACAGCGCTCCCAAGTTATCCGGCAAGGCAAGCAACTCAACTAATAGCTGACATTTTGGACAAGAGTGTGTCGGTACGTTGGTTATCTATCGGTCAATGGTCAATTTTCCAAGCAGTTCCTTTTGTTTAGACAACAATTGGAGCGGCAAGAGTCTTGGCGGCAACGATGGGTGCTGGAGCGGCCACAACTGGGGCAGCAAGAGCCTTGGCGGCGACCACGGGAGCAACAGCGGCGACTGGCACATCCTTTTGGACGACAGCGTTGAAACCGTTGATGGGATCAGCGTAGTAGTTGACAATACGACGGGAACCGTCCGGTTCGATGAGCGAGTATGAGCCACGAACGATGTCACCATCGCGGGTCTCCTCTTGGGTCTTGGAGTCACCGGTCAAAGCATCTTGTACATTGTAAGCGTAGGTGTATTGTGGGTGTGGGTCAACAATGTCGGAGGCGACAGCAACTGGTGCGGCCAAAGCTCTAGCGGCAACTACAGGCGCTGGAGCAGCAACAACGGGTGCTGGGGCGGCAAATGGAGCGGCAATTGGTGCAGCCAAAGCTCTTGGGGCAAGGAGGGGTGCTGGAGCGGCGGCGAAAGTTCTGGCAACGACTGGATTCACAATGGGTGAGGCAGCGGCAAATGGAGCTGGAGCGGCGGCAACCAGTGGAGCCGGGGCGGCGTAACGAGCATAGATGGGACCAGAAGCGTAGGCAGCTGGTGCAGCGGCGTAGGCAGCTGGAGCAGCGGCGTAGGCCAGAGGTGCTGGGGCAGCAGCGTACGCCAAAGGCGCAGGTGCGGCAATGATACCAGCGTTGGCAGAGAGCGCCAAGGTAGATAGAACAGCGGCAAACTATAAGATAAAGGAAGAAGATGTATTTATATTATGTGAGCGTTTGTGCTTAATCCAACGGACACTTGGACATTGGCAACGTCGGTACATAGGAGCATACGAAGGCTCCCAACTGAACCATTTACGTATCGTACAATCGCGTAATCCAAGTGGCCGTCCTCTTCGTACATACGAAGGATCTAGTGAATGTCTCAAAAGCTCAAAATACTTACAACGAATGGACTCATTGTGTGCTTAAGCTGATTAGATTCTCACTGTCGGTTGATTAAAACAAAACTGACATACTTTTTCAAAAATCGCGACGCTTTTTATACTTCAAAAAATTCCAAATGAAGCGCGCGCGACGAGACCGTAGCTCTCAAAAAAGAGAAGAAGACGATTTCCAAAAATTTGAATATTTACATTGCGGCAGCACGCTCTTCCGCAACCAGCTCCAAAGCTAGAGAGGTGTTGCGGATTGTACTTAAAATTGCTCTAAAATTTTTTTGTTTTGGTTTTTGTTTTTATTTTTTGATTTTAGCAAGCATATGACCTCTTCAATGCAAGCTATACTTCGCACACGAAGGGCGGGTGGCGTTAATTCAAGAAGCCAAACACGAAGTCCAACTACCAATAAACAACTAAATACATTTTGAAATTCCGTTGGTGAATTCTGGGCACGTAAATCGGGTAAGTCAGCAAGGCAAGCGCGTGAATACATACATTTCAATATTTATAGTACATACACATGCACATACATTTGCATGCCAGTACGCTTTCATGGCATAGGTTGGTGAGCTAGCAAAGTGTGTGACACTCACGCACGTGGCTTGTGAGCAACCTACTCCAAAAGCCTGCGCATTGGTGGCCCCAGCAATGCAGTGACGTGGGGAACGACATCTAATTGTTGGAATCAGCCGCGAAAGCGCCAACGCATATCAATAATTGCAATTCAATGCAAGTAAGAATAAAAAAAAATAAATATATATATTTTGTACGATTTTTTTCATTGCCTCAACAATGGAAAAGGTTTGCTATAAAATAAAAACACCGTAAATCGGCATTAATAATTACACACTTGTAGACACATGCATACATATACATTGATACATAAATATACATATATGCAGCATGCATTCGGTGAATGCTAGAAATTGCCCAAAATGTGAAATAAAAATTGCGATCGCCGCGATAACGAACTAATTTCATTCACTTGCTGAAACTTGTGGGTTCAACTCAGTCATTTAAATAACTATTTTTGGTTTTTTATCGCAAACTATTTTGATTTGATTGGCATAGTGAAAAATGGAAAGCTTCGCGATGAGCTGCATATTAAAAAAAAACAGGCTCACGAGCGAGCACGTTGAGCATAAGAAATGCCAAGCAAGAAAATAAAAGTAAATTTAAACAAATTTACAATAAGGAAGATTAAAAATGCGCGCGTAAACCTGTTTAAAAAAGTAATGAATCTAAAGAATTCCGGCCGCATTAGGCGTCGTTGGAAATGTGTTAAAGAACAATGAGGAAGTATTCGCATGCGAATTTTAAATTAACTTAAATTTGCAAACATTTTTGTGCAAATATACGAAAATATATTTCAAGCGGGTATATTCTTAATCTATTCGTTTTAAAATCGGTTTAGCATAAATTTTTGTAACGCGACTAAGATTTTATTAATATTTTGATAGTCTCTACCTTTAAAAATAATAAAATAAAATTATAAAACGTAACTGAAATAGTTTGTGAGTTAAAACCTTCTAAAGTGTAGCCGCTCAGTTCAGTGTGAGCTCCATCAGTTAATTTTTAAGAGGTTATATCTAGTTTTGAACTTCAAAAAATCCATTTTTTTTGCTTATATATCGAATGTAAATACTATATTTGGGAATATATTCCGAAATTATGAAGTTAATACGGCAAAGTTTCGGAGATATGAAGGTATTTGTAAGATTTTTTTTTTTTAAACTTACTATTATACTTAGTAAATTTTTGTCGACACGCTGTCTTCAGAGTCAATTAAGAAAACTTGAAATTTTCATACGACCTTCTTAAATATATTTGTCAAGTATTGTTTGAAGGAATAATATTTTTGATAATAATTTCGATATTCGAAGCCCCTCTGAAGTGTACTTTTTTTCACAAAAAAACTACTTTTTTTTAAGAAGCCGCCATTTCGTATAAAACAAAATTTGGACTAGTCCGGCAGACACTTTGAATACCACCACCAATAATTTTCCAAGTAATATGTCAGACTGTTTTCCTGTGAAATATTTTTCAAGTACTCTAGCTTTAGCAGCCTTCTGCAAAGTAAAACTCTGTTATAGTATTCAGCGCAGGTATACCGTCAACTATGTATCAATAGCCTTCCGCAATAGAGGTGTTAGTTTTGAACTATGAATAGTGAATGGTGTGTCACTGCTAAATTACAGGTTGCCGCTGTATTTCGACTAACGTGACATGTCGCTATATGTAAACGTCAAAAATACATAATTATAACAAAAGGAGAATGAATACATAATCACTTATTTTCTTCACATGATTGCTAAAAGCTTAACTCACTTAATGGACATTGTATTAAGCAGTTAGGTCAGAAAGCATAAATTTGACAATTTTTGGGGCTATTGCCTGCGAAAAGCACTTGATTACAAGGTGCGACGATTATTCGAATTGGTATTTCGTGGGTTCAAATTCCAACCAAGATTGAATAAAAAATGAGAGTTTCAACATCTAGAAATAGAAAAATTGTTAATAAATTCTAAAACACACAAATCAGAGCGCTGCTTTCTACAGTCATAGGAACTGTCATTATTCAGTTTTACGCAGCAATTATACAAGTACAATGCATATTCAATAAAGCATGGTTTACCAACATAATTATTTCTTATCGAAATAGCGTGTACTAACAGCCAAAAATCGTTAAATTAGGGATGCAGATTTGCTTAAAGAAACCCACTGAAAATTGCATCAAACGCAATGAAGTGACTTTTGACAATGCTTGCACCAAAAGCACAGTATAAATAGTAGGTCCATGGCACAGCAACTGGGTAATCCATTTTGCGAACAGGTTATACAATCGATGCCTAATTGATGCATTTTTAATAATGTGCCAATTTGGTCACACCAGAGCACCAAGCGGCAGACAACAGGCAGCTGGCAGCGACAAATATCGCGCAGCCACAGCGGCAGCAGCGGCGGACGTAGACGCAGAACAAAACCCCGACCAACAACTAAAAGTGCGACAAAAGTGAATGGCAAATGGTCGCGGTGCTTGATTGTACATTGTGATATGCCGGCCGACGCGGCCTAAATGAGAGCACTAGCATCAGCAGCCGCCGCAACGCTAGACACAGCCGCAGTCGGGCGTTGCCGAAACGTTTTGGCTGTCGCAAATCTTGTGCAATTATTCCTTTTATTCTGCGAACTCGGCTTTTTTGCTTTGATTCCGTTTGCATCTAGTAAATTTAGTTATTAATTCATTTGCAGAAGTGAGTAGCCATTAACCATTAAAAGTGTAGAGCAATCGAAAGCACAAGTCAAGCATTTGTATGCTGTGCAAGTAGTGCATCTACGGCGCTATGAACATAAGTGAGCCTGTTGTTGTACGCCAAAATCGCTTAAGCAAATCTCTAAATCTCCAGTTTGTAACGACATTTCCGCCAGCGTAATGCGAGCGGCGTGTCACAACATCAAGTGTACAAAAACACAAAAACGTCGCATGCCAAAAATGTCTCGCGTATGAGCAGCGTGTGTGTGTGGGTATGCGCTTTAAAGTATGGCTTTTGAATTTTGTCAAAAGTTCTAATTGAAATTAATTTGTTTGCCCATCACGTAGTTGTTATTAACACAGTAAGTTTGTTTGTTGGCAATAACTATTCAAACTATTCTAGTTGGGAATCTCTGAATTTCCATAATGTTACATTTGCAAAAAGTATTCCAGAAGGCTTGCTCACTTATAGATGGCTGGCGGAATAAATTGGTATCATCCGACAAACTTTAGGCCCTATGCCGCAGTCGGAGATGCAGGAAATGATGATCCGACAAACCAATTACAGATACAGTTTCAAGTCGACTCAGAAAGGCTTTGAAATCTTATGAGAAGCTTTTTAATGACAGAAATACGCTTCGAGATTTGTCATCTGTCGAGCAGTGACAGATTTTAGATTCGTAGTGCACAACTCACCACACACAGGCGGTCGCAAAGAGTATACAGGTTCACTTTGTGGGTGTAATTTTTTAAGCTGGTATGAAATTTGTTTACAATTCTGGTTTAAAATTGGAATAAAAAAGGGATCCCATTTTGAGGTTAAAAAGAAATTGTTTACTAAAATCAGGATATACCCGTACATATATTTTATTTCAAGTTGCATAAATAGCAGTCTAAGTATAAAACGTTCGCTTATAAAGTGGATATAACATATTTTCTACGATATATTCTTCCCTGTAATTAGCCGGGGAAATGAAATAAAGAACAACTTTTGATAACTTATATTTTTGGCTTATTAAGAGGGGACTAATTGTAAATTTGTATAACCGTTATACCTAAGAGTCATAGGATGGGCCAAATGATAAAATGAGCACCGTCAAAAATTCTACCCGAAAATCACATATTAAGTATGGTATGTGCATACATATTTTGAGATATACGTAGAAGACAATCCTATTTAGAGCCTAATGTAATTATAAATTGACGCTCACACAGACATAACTAATACGATGCTTTACTTTGCCATTTTTTTCTAATCATTTTAGAGACACATTAGTATGTAAATAAACAATGAAAACAATCAGCATTTTCTATTAATTCTACTAACTCGGCTAGTAAATATATGAGCCGAGCTACGACCACTTATTTTTTGCACTGTGCGGCTTTGATTTAGCTAACTTGCGAACTATTTAAACATTTGCCAATTTCCGAGGCCAAAACATGGTATTGGAAAGCTCGCTCCCGCACGATGCCAACACCTTCATTACCAAATGAATCGGGTTTTGCTAAGTGCGAATATGAGTATTCTCGAATATATAACAAATAAATATATAAATATGTGAATATGTGTGTATTTATATGTACTTAAAATCGCTTTACTTATATAACTATATAGATAAGCAAATATTAAGTACCATTGCATTTGTTTGTTTTGCTGTCACTGAGTAAGTATATGCAATATATATGTAAAAACAACAATGCATCGTAGCGCCGAAGTACTTTTTGGTATTTGGCCAAAACAACACAAGGTCGTCTGTTTTTGTTAAAACCGTCACGTCACGCACAATAACATGGCCTAAACATAACATAATATGTAGAAAAATAAAAGAACAAAAACAACAAAAGCAGCCACAATTGTGTCGGGAATGCTAACCTTTTTGCTGTTGTTTTCATTTTACTGCGCATGCGTACATTTTTATTTCCATTTAAACGCTGAAAGCGTGGTTTACTGTTGAGATAACGCAAAGCAAATTTTAATTGGTAATTTACAGGAAATTTTGTCTCCACGCTTTAAAGCCATATTTGTTGGGATTGTTTTTCCGTTTAAATAATTAACTTTTACAATTACAGTAACAGTTATTTTGGCGTGAACTTGCAACACAAATATTTTGGACATTACCGGAGTTGCAGCTGTTGTCAGTTAGTTATGTTCTTAAGAATTAAAATACTGGCATTTTAATTGCTTGAAATATTTTCAAGCTTTTCGGAGTTGTTTTCCTTAAGAATAATTTCTGGAGTATAACTAAGTTGGCGTCTTTCAGTAGTGTTCAATTCTAGATTCTTCACTCGCCACTTATCTTTTTGCGGAATTTGTTAAGTGAAAGCCTATTCAAATTAATTAATTAATTGAAAAATAAACAACTTATTCAAAATTCTTTGCAAAAACTTTAAGTTGAAAATATTTTTGATGAAGGATGCCACTAGTTTAAAAAAAATTAATTCATAAAATTTGATAACAAAATCTACGAATAACTATACAGTTACAATATATTGAAAAAGGATTACAGTTGAAAATTTTGTGAAGAGTTGTTACTAATTCAGAATTTTTATTAAATAAATTTGATAAAATAAATAAAAAATTACAAAAAAAAAATAAATTTTTTCTGCCAGGTAGTTTTTGGGGAAGGGTTGCCATTTCTTCAAAAAAAATTACTAAGCTAAAACTCAGAGATATTTCTTATAATGGTTGCCATAACAATTTGACAAAAAAAACAACATTAAAAGTAGGAAGAATTGCATTCCTTATTTACAATCACAGGCAAGAATATACACTGTTTTCAGAAATATATTATTACTAAATTTCCTTAAGATTTTTTACATATTGACCGATAGAAGGCAACTGGAAGTTCGAAAATATTTATAGTAATTATATGGGGGCTAAGGGAGGTATACCTCGATTTTGTTTATTTTTGGCACAAAGGAACATATTTCGAGAATTTTTGAACATAAGATTAAATACCTTGAGAGCAAAGTTGTGCAAAGTTCTATCCTAATATATTCATTGGTGCTTGGTTTGTACCATATACTGAAAGTTCTATTCTATTTTTGCTGGAAGTGAAAGAAATAGATGGAATTTAAAGTTGTGTAATATGGGATGTAGGCGCGGTTATCATCGCCCATTTTCACAGCGTATGGTAGGTAGAATGGTTGTGTAACTTCACATACCAAATTTGGTTGAAATTGGTCGGGTAGTTTCTGAAATATAGGAGCTTCATCTTAAGGTGGGGGTGCCACGCTCATTGTCCAGTTTTAACACCTGTAACTAACTCCTATAGAGCTCTTTTCCATAATCTTGTTTGTAAAATTTAATGCTGATTTATTCCGTGAGTTATCGCACTTTTAGTAGTAGTTTTCCACACAACCAATATATGGGGAGTTTTTTTTCATTTTCACAGCATATGAAGAAGTAGGAGTTAACTTCAGCGGTTTGGAAGATATGAACAAAGAACCATTTAAGGAGCGGAGCCTTGCCCACTTTAAAAAAAAAAATGTTGTGGGATTCGTTGTACCGAATTTCAGTTATGTGACTGAATAGGATTTTGTTTAATGGCGTTTTGTGGGCGTGGTAGTAGTCCGATTATGCCAGTCTGCAATACCGACCTCTCTTGGGTGCCAGGGAACATATGTAGTAAGTTTCATCAAAATATCTCAATTTTTATTTAAGTTATCGCTTGCACGTACAAACAGACGGACGGACAGACAGTCTTACGGATTTCAACGCGTCTCGTTAACCTGATCATTTATATATATCATACATATATAACTCTCTATCTATCTCGATTAGTTTTGCGTGACACAAACAACCGTTAGTGTTGATTATGAAATATCTCTAATACTTATCCCTATTCGTTTTGAAAGCAATGGGCTTTTCGGAAGCATCAATTAGACCTCTGTGGCCCAAAAATGTATGGAGATCAAGCATATTGAATATTCAAGTTTCTCAGGACGTTCTGTCGCCACTTAGAACCAATGTTTACCAACATATAAAGAAGGTTAACTGCCTTGTAGACTTATGTACGAGTATAGTGGTAGTAATAGTCGTAAACACCCCCTTTTAAGAGGCGTTACAACTTCAAGTTTCTATTTCTCTGCTGCCATATGTCACAATAACTTCTGTATGCGCTCGCATATCGGGTTCCTATTAACAATGACAAATGTGCCCCTCACTTCTCTGATGATAAGCAATTAATACGATGAAATATACATTTGCGTGACTCTGGCTTACAAATAACGGTATGTGTGCAGTTGCTATTGCAAGCAGGCGTGCAGGCGGCAGCACTAAAAAATTAATAGTTCGGACCATATTCTATTTGAACTGCAGATATTAAGATTCGAAGCCATTTTACAGCATTGCCAAGCGTTTCGAAGTGCTCCAAATCAAGGTGCGAGTGTGTAAAAGTACGCTTCAAACGGACATTTTAATTAAGCCGACATAAAATGCTGCACACGCACTGCCATAAGCGTTGTCATGCCCCAGCAATGCTTTTTACATTTATTTACACACAAAAATGTGCATGTGGAGACCCCTCAAGCGGTGCGGCCGATACTTAAAATGTGTCTGCCAAGGCGTCAAAGGCTGCACCACCGAAAAAATGCGTAGAGACCAGTGAGTCGGCCAGCCAGCCTGTCGATCGGTCTGTGAATTAAAAATGTTTTTCAATACTTGTACAATGTCTAATATGTAGTGTCGACGCTGGCAGCGACGCTTGCAACTAAACAATATTACGTCAGCATAATTTTTGTGGCAATTGTGGACAAAGCACATTTATACGTTGCTGGGGCGCACATGTCTAAAGACACAGTGAAATATGTACACTTTTGACATGGTGCAAATACATATCAACATACATACATACAGCTTGCCAATTGATACATTTGCGCATGTGCAGTTGCTTAACGGTTACAAAGTATTTTTAAGTTCAATACGAACAGCGGAAAACAAGTCCAGCTCACTGCACTAAACTACATACATATGTTAGCCTCATGAACTAGTTAGTAGAAGAGAATGACCTGTAGGAAAAGCATAACTAAATTTGCAGGGATTCTTTTATTTCGCTGAGGAAAGTCTCTACATTATGTAGTATACTTTTAGGCATCGACTAAGGGCTTTCCTGTTCTGTCTAGTATGTGGAAGAGCATTTGTAGTTTGAAAATTAAAAAAAAAACAAAGTGGGCATGGCCTCGTTCTCTAGCAGGCTATTTCAACCAAACTTGCTGAGGAAAAATTTCTCTAGCTTCTCTTCATGCACTGCGGATAAATCAGTTGATAACCACGCCCACTCTGCATATAACGGTTAGATAATGCCGCAGAAACATTACATTTTATACTTTTGACGACCTTTCAAGTTCCCAGAAAAAAATTGAGAAATCCAACTTATACTTTACAAATGCCATTCCGGCAGGGACTGCGCAGACACTAGTCCATAACTTAGTAACTAACTGCCGCAGCGGTTAATTTGGTGGGCATTTTGGTCAGTGACGCCATGCGCACTTCAAGTGCGTATTGAAAAAAGTTGATAAAATGCGATCATTTTGAAAAATGAACCGTTTTTATTATGTCAAATAAAAAATATTGGTTTGTATCAACCAGAGACGGCAGTTAAATTCTCAGTGCAAAGCGATTTTGTGTGATTTGAGTTTTATGAACATGACACATGTGCGATTGGGCGGTGAAATAGATGTTCACGCGCTTGGCAAATGCTGACGCCGCACGCAGCTTGCGGTACACGCTTTCATATGGTTCGACTAAACATTTAGAAGCATGACAACAGTGCACCTTATGGCAACGAATTTTAGTGTGTTCATTGAGAAAACGCTCACAGTGCAAGCACAAAGTGCGGTGATGAAATCACACTGCTGACCATAAATTGGTGTTGGCCTGCTGCCTTTAAACTAGATGATTGTAATGGGCAGCGGCACAAGTGGATCGCACGTATGCGCAATGCAATGGTAACCAATTAGCCGCGACTGTTGCGATGCCAATCACATTGAAACCAAACGTCGAACGTCGCCAAAATGTGTACGGTGTGCTCTTGTTTGTGCACTAAATGCAGCGTTTTTGTGATGCTAAGTGGCATGTTGTTGCTGTACTTGTTGATGGTATGTGTCGCAGCAACCTCAGTTTGTTTGACAGTAATGGCGCGCAGCTGCTGTCGTTGCAGCCTCGTTCGATCTTCGCTCGAATAGTCGAGCGGTTTTAGAAATTCTTCACATTCGATTATAAAAGTGCATGCTTCTTGGGGGATTTATCTCAAACCACAATCGCAATTTTGTACGCTAACATCGTCGCAACAAGCACACATAGTAGCAACATGATCACTAAGGTAATACATACACATGCCGAAGATAATCAACGAACGGATGTGGCTATCCTGACGCACCACCTTACAATTCTATTTAGAATTAAAAATGTATACTAATTAAGTTTTTTTTCTGCGCTACTCCTTTGCAGGTGGCGTTGGTCCTCTGCTTCAGCATCTCGCTGTCCGTTGCCGCACCCGGTGACATCTATGGCGGTCTCAGTTTACATGCGCCGGCCATCACATACGCAGCACCCAAGATCCTTGCCGCCGCACCAGCCATCAGTCAGCAGGTGATACACGCACCAGCACCAGCTCTTATCGCTCAAGCCGCTCCCACTTACTATGCACAAGCCGCGCCCACCATTATCAAAGCTGCTCCAGCTGTTGCCGTCGCCAAGGTAATCGAACCCGAGCCATATGATCCGAATCCACAATACAGCTTCGCATATGGTGTAACCGATCATCATACCGGCGACTCGAAAGCGGCTGAAGAATCACTCGTTAATGGCGTCGTGCACGGCAGTTACTCGTTGACCGAACCAGACGGTTCGATACGCAAGGTCACCTACACCGCAGACAAAATTAACGGTTTCAATGCTGTGGTTGAGAAGCAAGGTGGCCCCGCACCAATAGCCGTAGTGGCCAAACCAGCTGTCGCCGTTGCCGCTGTGCCTACCATCACTAAGGTCGCATACGCTGCGCCCGCCATCGCCAAGGTGGCGTACGCTGCACCGGCCCTTACGTATGGTCACCATTAAGTGTGTCTACGATAACCTCACATTCGTGTCGAGGTTATTGAGCGTTATTTATCATAATTGTTTCGTGTTGTTGACCGGGCTGCTGATCTATGGACATATGACTTCTGAACCGAACAAAGGAACTTACATATTACAGAAATATATATATCTACATATATATATATATATATATATAAACATATATTAATAACTAAACAATTTACTTGTTAACTTGTGAATACACTTATAGTCTTAGCAGAGCGCTCGTCTGCATGCGGAAACAACCAAGTCAACTCAAACTTCTTAGCTACAATTATAAAGACAAACAAACACACACAATTGCGATCGCGCGCATAACTCGCGATCATCCTCGCCCATTAAGCGACGTCGCGCTGAGCGCCACCACGCGTAACTCATAACGGGAGTCACGTCATAGTTCGCTAGCAACAACATCGGCTGCGGCTGCTTCTGTCGACACAAAGCTGTGAGTGTGCGTACCAGTATTGGCGACGTAGTTGTTATGTACAAGTATACTCGTATGTCGTTGCATGCTTCACCCAAGCATCATTCTCATTCATCTCAACTATTGTGCATCTCTAATCAGTTCTTTATTAGCAATATTGAATATTATAATTAATTTTATTTTAATTTTTGTATTTGTTTTTTCGTTCATTGTATATATGTAAATATACCTGGAGAGCAATGTGCCAGCGATTTCCAGTTTGAACGCATGCACACACACTGGAATAGTGAGTGTGTGTACACAGTGTGGTACAAGTATTTATGTGCGTGTATTGGAAATTGCGGCAAAGAGTCTCGTGTATTAGCTTGTGCACTTACTGAAATAAAGAATTCAGTACAAAAACACTAAATTCCAGACATTTTATTCAACTATTTATACGATTATTTCGCAGTTATAACCGTAAAAGGTAACTGGTCTTAAACACTTTTTCGCCTTTTTCTGTTTTTGCTGCGGTTTCAGAGCGATTGATGTTTTTCGGCTGTTGATGGCTACTGTTGTAGCCGACGCTGTTGTTAATTTATGACACACACACTAAAGCGTACACATACAATACATACATATGTATATACAACCATAGTCTAGCGCAATTTGCGCCTGCGTATATGCGCTTTTGTGGCCAGCGCATTTGTTACATTTTGCAGCTACTACAGTCTGGGCTCACTAGGTCAACGTGGTGATCATTAATTGTACAAGCCAGCAATTGGCCATATCAGTAATGCAATTGCAATTGAACAAAAGTGGTGGAAAAGGCGTGCCGTGAGGATTGCGAGTAGATAAATAAGTATATACATACAGAACAGCATTGTGTGAACTGCTGCTTCTGAAATTTGTATATTTGTTCAAACTTATATAGCCATTTATGTAGTACCGGACCTCATGTGAGCACACAGTGAATTAGAAAAACGCAAAAAAGAAAGCTTCATGGAATTATATTTTTTCTTCAATAGAAATTCTAAGAAAAGTTATATTAAACAGTTATTGAGCTATACTCTTGGCGTGTTTATACAAACCCCTAAGTGTAGGTCACACATATTTGTATACAACATAAAATTAATATTAAAAATATTCACTGCTACAATACTGTTGCCTACAATTAGGCGTTGCAGCCAAATAACTAGGAAATGCTAAAAAGCTTGAATTCTTGTATTTGTTTCGCAGCCTTGGTAGTGTTTGTATGTAAATATAACAAAAAAAAACCATTTCCATTTTCATCCAAAAAATATTTGTCCGAAAGTTACCGAAAATCAAAATGTAAGTGTTGAGATACAGTAACACTATTGAGAATTTATCAAATATCAAATTGTTGCAAGAGTATAAAAAATGTATGAATACTTTTTTTTCCAAGCCACTGTTTAAAAGATATAACGATTCAAAAAGTTGTAAAAAAAAGCGCTAAGTACACTATCTCATAGGTGACGTGGAAATGTATGTTGACGTACAATAATTTTTGATACAACTTATCGTTTCGTTACAAATCGCCAAAAAAACCTTTTACCTTTTATCTCGAGTAATTTTTTTCAACATATCGCAAGGTTGAAGAGTTTTCACTAACCTTCAGCTTGTTGGACATTTATGTAATCTTTAATGTCTATTTTGGCGGATTATTATGATTATTTTTAAATATTAGCTACAGAAGTTAGTGCGATAGCAAAGATACTTATTAGATATAGAGTACTCGAATGAAAAGTTATAGGATTTATGGACCGCTTTTCTAGAGAAAGGCTGAATATCTTCGAGGCTACATTCACTAGAATATTATGACCAGCTTTGAAAGTATCCAACGTGGTCGAAACTGCTGGCAACATGGAAAATAAGTCGTCTTTCTCAGTTTTCCTTAAAAATATCTACGTATGCTTTTTGATTTCTTTGAAATAAAATATCTTTCAGCTGCTTTTATGATTAAGTGATAACCTTATTTATTTTCTTTGAGGAAAAAATTACCTTTTGTCACTATATTCTCGTTTTCGAGCTAAAACTCTGGCAATTTATTCAAAAATCATCAAACTGATCTAATTTTTTATATTAGAGACTATACAAGTATATTTAGATTTATTTACATAGTATAACATAAAACATTTACTCCTTGACCCACTGTGCTAGCGAAAAACCTTGCAATTTATCAATAAATATATTCCATCGCCGAATTCGCACACCTTTCGGCCACAAACGATAGGCACAGCATTCGCAATGCAGCAGTATGCATATAAAATAAATAAATGCAACAAATGAAATTGCATTTGTTGTTGTTATTAGTTTACGTACGCAGAATTATGACCCTAACAGCGGTGAATTGTGAACTACAAATAAAAAGTCATTTTGGCGCACCGTCAAATTAACTGCCAACAAGAGCGTGTCAGCGGAGCGATTGGGCGGATATGCCGTTCGACGCTGGTTCTACTATATAACTATATACACATGTGCAAATATATGTATATGCATGCAGCTGCATATGTTGAGAAGTGCCGCCGTGTAGCTCACACGTTGCCAGCCTATTTTTCGCCTGCTTTGCTTGACCACCTGTTAACGCTCACGAAGCGTGGCTACATGCTCTTGTGTGGCAGTGTTGCACTGTTAAAAATTGATCGACTGACAAGCGCTTAAATCACTATCGATTTAATTGTGTTGATTTTACAAGCGAGCGCTTGAGATTACTTTTATTCGATTATATTTATGTCTGTGCGTTATCCAAAGAGATGTGTGAATATGTTTGAATTTTTATATATAACCGTAAGTTTGGCTTAGAGCCAAATTGTTATATGATGAATAGGACTAAGCTACCATTTAGTTTTTTAGGGGCCAAGACTTTGTGGAATCTACACATGAAGTTTTATTTATTCAATGGAAATATATTGAAGTAAGAAGTGTTTTTATATATGTGGGCAGGAGTGTTAGAGTGGTCAGTATTATTTTGCGCTGCGATCGTGGTATCTAACGATCATTAACTTCCTGTAGAACGCTTCATTTGTAAAATATAATTAGTATGTCTATAGATTCATAACTAATTTAGTAGCTGGAAATATACCATAGTGTTTGAAAAGTATAAACTTAATGTCAATGAAATGTTCCTAGAAGAAGAAGAACCTATCAACCCACAGATTGTAGAATAATTTAGAGAATCACGAATCCCCAAAAACGAACACTAGAAATGATGAAAACTTGAGAAAAGCACTCGAACTTTCGGGGGTGAGTGATTGTACTACCTTATCAAATATGACCTCGATTTTTACCATGGAAAAAAATTTAGCAAAGAGTCTGCTTGAAATTTTGTGTTTCCAATGGAATCAGGGCTACAGAATCGTTGAAAATGTTGCACAAGTGTTTTAGATAATCCACTTTATCACGAACACAATTATTTGAGTGGCACAAAGCATGCAGTGATCTCAATATCTCTTATGGATCGACTCGGTATATTTTGGTTAATGTTTTGGGTATGAAGCCTTTCATTCTAGACTCGTCTCAAAAGACCTGAATGTTTTGGAAAACCGACGTCGTGTATAAATCACAAAAGAGATGCTTGACAACATAGCTGAGGGGAATAAATTCATCAAACGCATATTTACTGATGACGAGACTTGGGTTTATGTGTATAACGTCGAAGCTGTCGAAAATCTATCGAATGTCGCTCTTAAAATGAGCCGAACCGAAAAAAAAAAACAAAATTTGGTGGAGGTTTAGTGCCATCCCAATCAAGACTTATAACAAATGTGTGAAAAATTGGATTTAGTCTCTGGACGATTGTAGTGGTGCAGGAGACTAATTTGAAGACGATAATAAAAGTTCCTACTAAAATACGTGAAATGTATTTTTTTTTCAGTCCGTATCAAAGTTGATACAATTTCAACAGACAAAATGATGACTATTTAGGGTTAGAGCAAATGATTTCCACATTAAATTAGACCAATAATTTTTACGATAATCAGAAATTCTCGAATTCAAGGATAACTGGTCTTCACAGTGCCATAAAAATATAATTACGTTTTATTAACATAAATGTAAGAATCTTCCATAGAGCACAACTTCTATAACCGATACTTATTTTACTTATGTATATTAGCATATGAAGTGTTAGTGACCATCTCGGCAAACCCTTTAATTATACACGCATGACACACGATATATAAAATTAATTGAGCCATCTGGCGTTTATGTCTTCCACTGCAGTTTGGTTTCGTTGACATTCCACAACAACAATAATACGAAACATTCGCATAAAGCATACCGCAATGTAAATATTTTCATTTTGATGATTAATGTGCGCGTTGTGGAACGTGAGAGCCACAGGCGTTGAGGCGCTTTAAGTCGCCGAAGAACAAGCGCTTTGCACGCGTATACATATGTACATATACGAGTGTGTGGCCATGGGCGATGGGCGCGAACCCATATTACTCATCCAATTAATAAACACCACAACACTTATACACACACGCACGCAAAGCGATCTGTAAAATTCGTTTATGTTTGGAAATCGATCATTTTAATGTCGCTGAGTTGCCGCTGCTTTGAGTAAGCCCAGTGGCCTAACAGTTGGCACGGCGCGGCACGTATGTTGTAGTAAATGGCGATGGACGCGCATGCGCCAAAGCAAAATATTGCCACATTCACTAAACATAACAACAATGTTTATAATTTCATTTGTACTGCGTCTTATTTTTAAGGCACATTGGAGGGCAGCGTAGCCCAACAGCTGTTAGGTTATTATGTCACTGTAGCGTTTACTTTTATGGCAACAGTTTCACAACTCAAAACCATAACCATTTTGATTTCAAAATTTCAAAACTGAATATCGGCGCCAATTCGTGCGGGTGGCGCATTTCGTTTATAAGCCCGACAGGTGGGCCTGATAACATCATTCCAACGAAAGTAATCAAACACTAAGTACAAACAACACACTTTTTTTGTGCACAAATCAACAGCAAATCAAGCGGTAAAATGGCTTTCCTCAAGGTAGGTCACAAGATACTGGATTTAATGCAGCGCAGCGCCCTCTGTTGACCGCAGCTCACATTGTGGATTATATCCTCAGCGCATAACTCCTGCTGAACGCTCATTTAAACTTCTTTTCTCTGTTTTCTTCCAGTACACAATTGTCGTCTGCTTAGCGTTCGTTGGCGTTGCTCAATGCGCACTGTTACGCGCCGCCCCAGCGCCCGTCGCCTTCGCCGCACCCGTACCCGCACCGGTTGTACCCATCAACACCGAGATTGACCCACATCCACAATACGCTTTCGCCTACAATGTACAGGATGCGCTCACCGGCGACAGCAAGAGCCAACAGGAAGTGCGCGATGGTGATGTGGTGAAGGGCTCCTACTCCGTCTTGGATGCTGATGGCTCACTGCGCACTGTCTTCTACACTGCCGATCCCATCAACGGCTTCAATGCCAT